AAATTCATCCTCAAAAATTTGAAACGTTAGTTTGTTTTTACTGGAAGGTGGCGGTCTGTAAATGGCTATTATTTTAGCAGTAATGTTATTTTGTGTAAACCTTATATCAATATGTTTGAAACTTTTAAAGACTTTGTTTTCATTGGTATCGCTTCTTAATGCAAGCGACTCTCTTAATATTATTGCTATTCCACCCCCTCTTGATGTTAGGCGGTTTTCATTTATCATATCATAGTTCATTAATTGTAATTTAGCCAGGATTCAGTTATTATAAGTATGTCAATTAGTTCATCCAGAATATATTGATTTAATTCAATTGATTTGTTTCTCACAGATCTGGAATTTAATAAACACAGTTTTAGTTTTTGTGTCTTGATTGACTTAGATTTGATCAGATCAGAATTTGTACTGTGAGCTGAAGTTAGTTTTTTATTTATATAGGCTGTGAACTTCTTTCCTGAACTTTTACTTCTCTTAGTTGGTTTGCTTGAGTTTATATTAAGATACTTAATATAGTTGTACTGATTAAGTTTTAGTTTGTGGGATGTATTGTTGAAAGTGATTAACTCTTCACTACTATAAGTTAACATTTGTTTAAACACATGTCAGAATTTGATATCAATAGTTACTATTGATATAGTCAATATTTCAAATCCATATATCTCCAAAAATTCACAGAATCTATCCAAAATAAATTACATTATTAGAATCTGCTATAGTTGGTGTTGATGTTTGCCAATTTTCACTAATACACACTAACAATGAAAACTTTGCATACTGTCTCTTTAAATTAGGGTCATGGTGTTTTGGTGTAAACTTACAAGAATCATTAAATAAATAGTAAAATTGGCTTCATTTTTGTTATAAATTCTCAGTGTATTAGAATATGATACTAAACTAAGTTGACAAAATTAAAAGGATTGTAAAGAGGTTTTCTTAATTTTATTTATCAGGGACACTGATAACATCAATTTGTGCCATTCCAATTTTCAATCAGACGTCTGTAGTTCCTGCAATTTCACTAAAACTAAGCATTTATGAGTCGCTAAGTCCTTATGTGATACAGCATATTTTACGATTTGTGACATCATCAAACCCTTAGTTTTAGTTCATTGGTTGATGAACGCAGAATTTTCGCATGTTAATTCAAATGAATGGCCACGTTGTCAAAGGAGATGACATTATTACAATGTCATTACATCATCAGAGATCACTAAAGAAATTTGTAGTTCATCGCTAAATGGGTTCACTGTAGCATGTGACAATAAAATGTAAATAATTGATATATACTTCCTCATATGATTTCTTCATTTGCTCCTACAATATATTAAGTTTTGTTTTGCAGTTCTGATTGTTTGTACTTCAGTTTTCTATTTATGATTTTGAAGAAAATTCACTTCTGTAATTTCTCCTGTACAGGATTCTAATGAGGCCAAAATCAAATTGAACAGTAAGTATCAGTGGGTGAGAGCCGACACTGGCCCATCTCCCAAAAGCACTGGCTAGGGCATCAGAATATTTTACACCTTGAGGACGATCCGAAGCACCCAATAACCCAGCAAACGACAATCCTACTCGCTACTGACTGCCATCCCACCGTCATAAAAAAAGACAGTGTTCCATCTCAGCATTAGAGTAAAGGTTAGCAAATTATCTCCCTTTGACCACAAGATGAATGTAGAAGACAATTGATGAAAATATTTTATATTTAGCACAAATAGAAAAATTCACCAGAATTTAATTGTCACGAAATAAATCACATGGTTAATTTAAAGAAACTGGAAAAATAAACAGAACTTTTAAAGTTTCAAATGTAAGACATATTTATTGTCACTATCACTAAAATATATATATATATACAACGTTTTAGTGATAGCGACAATAAACTTAGTGATTGGATAATTAGACAGAAAAACTCTTAAAAAAAGAAAAGAGAGTAAATCAATGAATTTATCTGTAAAATACACATTAAAATAAGTTGTAATATTACCTCTTTTAAAACATCATCTATAATACTAGCACCAGTCATTCTTTTATCAAAGTTTTTAATTTTAGTCACACTATCCATCTTACAACTTATCTAGAAATATAACAAGATTCTAGAGACAATATATCATAAGATAATTTTACCGTATTTGCGTGGTATTGCTTTCTTCCAGAATCAGATGCCTCTGATAACAATCACCAAAATAATCCACAGTGGCAAACAACAAAACACTTTATAATCATAAAGAGAGATTGCCAGGCAATATAAACATATGACCACACAGCAGTTTTAAATTCAATAAAAAGAAACATGAACCACACTGTTTAATCAGGTCAGTTGATTACCATAACTCAATCTAAATAACCAAATCAACATAGATAGAACAAGTTTATTTTCACTTTAAGTATTATTCAGATTTGGATGTCTTTTAGCTGAAGTGAAGAGTGATATACTGTACCATATGTAAAATTTTATCTTTTAAGTTAGGTCTAAAAAAAAACATTCTTTGAAAGTCTGTCAAATTTGATATTGCAATATTAATGATCATACCCTTCATTAATATCAGATGAAAAATTTAGTCTCTATTTTGCTTACAAGAAACGTGACTGACAGACTGACTGATGAGACAGACAACATTGTACATCCACCTGTTGATGTATTATGGATAATAATATGATTAATAATGGTTTAAACTAGTTTAATTTTAATTTGTCCAATATGTTAGATTAAATATTGACATCATGCTGTAGTATTCATCTTCTGTTGAAGGAATCATTTCCACTCTAACAAAAGTCCTCCTGGGTTGTAGATTACAAATAATTATTACATTTCTACAATTAAATAGAAATATACAATATACAACATTATAAATATGATTACCTTATTCAATCCATCAGGTGGTAGGGATAATGTTGATAGTGTCAGCAATTCAAAGTTTTCACTTTTCTGTTGGCCATAGAAAAAGGCTATTGTTAAAAATCTACAAAAGATTGAATAAACATATCATACCACTATGTACATAATGTAGTTTCATGAAAACTTTACCAAAACTCAATACATGGTCAGCCAAAAGATAGTTTGCAAGGCAAGGTAACATACGCCCACTACCAGCTGTCAGAAATGATAAGTCTGTAGTGGCTTTATAAAAAAATGAAATGAATGGAGTTTTAAGACCATCTTTTCTGCACCATGTAGGAATATTTTGCCAGGACAGCGGCATTAGCCTGCTCTTTAAATGTTCAATGAAGTCACTATCCTTGGTATTTGCTAAGTAACATTTCAATTTTCACTTATGGTAAATTTTCATTAGCGGATTATATTTTTTGAATATTTTTACATTTCATGATTTATAATTTCTGTAAAAATGGTTGTAACGATTACAACATAGTAAAGGAGACTGTAAAACAATCTGATGACCTTGAATAAATCATCTTTCCTTAATATTCCATTTAAACCCTGCTGTAATTTCTGGAGAAAGTTTGATAAAATTGTTTTTTTATGCCCAATTTTTTTTTTTTTTTTAGTGAATAGTAACAATAAAATTGAAGGTAAAGAAATTTACTGAAATACAGAACTCATTGGTATTATATATATCTTTAAAGATATTGTGGTTTTATTGAGGACTAATCTATTGTATTTCTGAAGGTGAAATTCCTAATTGTAGATGATGTTGATATGAAAGGTAAGTGTATATTATGATATTATAGATGATGTTGATATGAAAGGTAAGTGTATATTATGATATTATAGATGATGTTGATATGAAAGGTAAGTGTATATTATGATATTATAGATGATGTTGATATGAAAGGTAAGTGTATACTATGATATTATAGATGATGTTGATATGAAAGGTAAGTGTATACTATGATATTGTAGATGATGTTGATATGAAAGGTAAGTGTATATTATGATATTATAGATGATGTTGATATGAAAGGTAAGTGTATATTATGATATTATAGATGATGTTGATATGAAAGGTAAGTGTATACTATGATATTATAGATGATGTTGATATTTATACTGTGGTCAAAGGGAGATAATTTGTCAATTCTGATTTATGATGAATTACCTCCCTTAGACCACAAACAAAATATTAAATTTAATCATGATATTTAATTATTGAAAACTATCTACCGAATAACAGAAGTTAGAAATTAATCAATGAAGTAAAAGAATTGCTGTCAGCTGATATTATTACTTATTTATAAATATCGTCGTTGCGCTTCAATAACCTCGTATCTCAGAATTTAAAGGTTTTCAGGAGAAGAAAAAAACTGTTTTTTTCTGTCAGTTTTCATCTTATTGATCCCATATTTGACACATCAACAACGAAAAGAAATGCATATTTGCTGAATTGAGTTCCACGGAATTGAAAAAAAACAATAGGAATTACGATACGAGATACGATGTTTAGTCATATTAGATGAATCGAGATACGATATATTTCTCTACATACGATTATTCCACACCCAACATAAAGCTGATTTTAGGGAGATACGATATTTTATCAACACCACCATTACTACAAAATGAACTTATTAAGTTAGGAAATGAAAATAGTGACTGGTTGAAGATGTGCACAATCGAGATAAAATGGATATTAGTTGAAATCGTAGTTATATACGATGTCGACAATTTTATATCTTCTCTTATGAAACCCCACCTGGAACATGCAGGGAATGCCAACACCGAATGTCACACTGCGATTGAGTTTTTCAGCTCGGCATGCATTTCGAAGAGTAAACATAGATATGATTTGTTTTTATTATATCAACAGTAATACCTTTATTTAGCACAATATGAAACCAATGAAAACTGAAATTGGATTGTTTATCCAACATGGCAAATTAGAGCTGAACACTGAACTCAAACGATTATAAACGATAATAAGAAATTAGAACTAATTAACTGTTAACATGGGTGTGTTCAACAATATCACTCGTTGGGGAGATTATCATGAAAATAATGGTAATCGTTGGGTATTACGGGTTTCAAATCTTGTAAATGATCAAATTTCTTCCTTGATCGGAATAGCAGAATTGTGGAGAATTAGTGGTTCATCTGACGGATCTGGATCCTTCTGTTTTGATCGACGGGGCAAATCATGTAAATCATCCGAGTAGCCGTTCTTATATCGAATCAGCGCTCCTGAATATTTGAGTACTCGCAAATTTGTTACCACGGGATCACCAACCTTGATTCCTGGACGAATTGAACTATAATATCCAAGAGATGAATAATCTTTGAAGAAGGCATAATTTACAACTTCTACTCTATAAGCAAACGGTTTCACCCTAGCCTCGCATATCTTGTCAACATAGTTTTGTGGCACATAAATGGGCTTCTTGCCAACGGTTTTCTCGATCACAGCGTGTATAGAATCGCATTCCATTTGAGTGTGACCACGTTCTAAATACTTCTGAGTTATTTTGATTCCGTATTTATTACATAGCAACAACAACATGTTCGCCATTACAATATTTCTATTCTGATATGTGCAACCATCTGAATAAATAATTATCTCCTTAACTGAGTCGTTTATTCTGTTTTGTAGGTAATGATCCACACATGAAGCAAAAGCTTGCACAGAGGTCACCCTGGCTCTCATACCAAAAGTAGCACTGGAAATCTTTGCTAACAATGTCGTAAATTGTAAAATTGTGGCATCCTAACTTTGTTTTATAGTAAAGAGCACTGGCATTGAGTTTAGGTGATAGAAGTAGAGCCTGGAAATCCATTGTAAGAACAACAATTGATGGATCATCTGTTGCTCGCTGTTTATCGCGATTCTTCTCAGCTCGTGTTTTCTCCTTTGCTTTGATATAAACTGCTTCATCGAGGTTTTTAGCTTCGTAAGAACAACATGTGTCACATCTGTCTTTTTTTGGTGAAAACAGAGCCAAATTCAGGAGATTGAAAACCTCAAAAAACAGTTTTCGTCCACATAAAACCTTCCCATTGTCTAAACAATCTGACTTATACACCTTATATAATCTGCCGAAGTACCAGACACAGGTTAGAGGTAATTTTTCGTACTGCTTGATCTACAATAGTGTGACGGTAGTTTTGGCAGATTTTGCAAAAAGCCTTAGCACTATCTGATTTGATGGTATCGCCTGAAGAACGACGTTTGCCCGGTGATTTAGTTGGTATACCGGTATCATCTGTATTGGCTATCCATGCATAAACTGTCTTTTCTCCTAGACAAAGAGTTGACAGAAACAATGATTTGCAGACTTGTAATTTCTCATTACCTTTCTTCAAGAAATACTTATTTGAACCATTTCGTCTGTATTCTGCATCATCTTTGGCAACAGTTCTTTCTTTTACACTCTCTCTATCTACCAAACTATTCACAAAAATTTTCTTCTCTTTCCAGTCCATATTTTCCCAGAAACCAGTACAAATTTTCTGTCGATCATCATCCATTAAGTTACGACAACGATTTCTTTTATCGCACGTTTTGGTACATTTTCTTTCTTTAAGTTTTCTGCTACCTTTATCTGAACTGTAAGTAAAATGACCATCAATTTTCTTGACACCTAGTCCGGATCACGAACTTCGTCATCCAAGTCATTTTCTGGTGAATTAGGTCTAACAACATCTTCATCTGAACAACGGACAGTTGAACAATTATTCTTATTGGACTCTAAATTACAATTTTCTAAAGTAATCAAATTTTCGAATAAATTATCAATGTCAATTTCTTCCGCGCAATCTTGTTCGCCAATTATACATTCTGACGTTAATGCTTTATCAACATTTGGAATAACACCATGATTTTGTAGAATTTCAACTACTGGTGATATCGGTCTTTGTGGTTTTTCAATAATCGGAGGGGAAGAGTGTTTGATGCCTCTGAATTGATCGCTTTGTGAAGGATTCGAATTTTTGAAAGGTAGTGCTGGAATTTTGCTGGAATTTTGCAGATTATTGTTTATATGATCTACAGGAATTTGTGATACGTTTTTATCATCAGATGGAGTTGCATGAATATAATTAATGGGATGTAAGTCATGAGTTTGCGATGATTGTTTTATTTCAGAGTCTTCAGACCGATTGCTTAAGGACATCTGTAAGAGTACCATTCCCCTCGACAAAGTAACATTTGGGGGCTTTCTCTTAGACATCGTAGCTTTCATCTGGAAACAAAGAGGAAAGTATACAGTACCAGAACTGATTTTTATCAAATGTCAAAAAGTCGTATCTTAGAAAATAAATATCAATCCCCACATGGTAAAAATATCGTATCTCGTAATAAAATGAAGAATAATACCGATAGAGTTCTTTGTTTTTATGATTATTGAATATTTAAAGTTAAGTATGTTGATATAAATGTGATATTATCATTCGAATACTCTTATTTGTGTATCTAAATACGACAACACTGATTTTATTAACTTTTGATAACAGTGACGAGTTCAAAGATATTTCGTGACTGTGCAGGTTATTGTAAGTCATGTTAACTACGTTTGAGGTCTCAAATGAATAAAAATGCATGGAAGTTTTATAGAAATACTTACTTCTTTAGTGTAAACAAATGTCTGTCGTCTGCTAAAAACATGTGGTCGAGTTACGAGGTTTTAACTGTAATTTTTTAAGCCAATTAAAATTTCGAGTATTTGTCACATGCTAATATTATTAATTCTAATTGGACTAGAGTTGCGACGTTTTTACACAAGGTGTATTAACGGTATTAGATGTAAACAATAACATAAAATGATTTTGACCAAAATCGAGATACGAGGTTTTAGAAGCGCAACGACGATATATGCTATCCTCTTTTTTTGTTTCATGAGTGTCGGGGCCGTGGACTTCCTGGTTTAACCGGTCCCTATTGTAGTTAAGCCACTAGTTAAGTAACTGTCCTGTTTATTAATTTCAATTGACTAGCCACCAGTGAAAATCCCAGCCTATTTGAATTTGACTGTCCTGTTTATTGAAGTGTATCACTATATTACTACTAATGTCCACTATAATGTCCAACTATTAATTAAACCTTAATTAATATTTGGCTAATTAATGATTAAGGTTAATTGACAATCAATATTGATGAAGTGGGGGTGTGATTTTCACAAGTCAGCCTTACCCCCT